TCAGAAGTTATGAAATCATTGAGTAAACGATGTCAAAAGCATTTTGATATGATAATCAATCATTTTGTTGGTAGCGATGAGACCGCAACACTTATATTTCACAGTCGTACCAGCAGACTGCACTTAAATTGCGCCCTCTCTCGGTCTCGCTCAGGGCCCATAAGGGTTCAATGAGATGGGCTATGTTTGTGTTTTGTTGAACAGGCATGATGTAACAGCAATCTCGGTCTGTCTCACCTGTCTGATTTCATTTTTCTTGACTCTCCTGCCGATGAACGCACTTTTCCAAGCTTTATGGAGGGCTCGAATCGCAATGCTGTAGCAGTTACGGCGTCGTCCATAGAAGTGCTGAAAAACAACAAAAAATGTCTGGTCGTAAATTACATACAAACCATCCACAATAGATGTTTGTTCTTGCCTAGCAAATCTGAACTCCTGAGTCCTAGTTCCCGCGATTGTTTTGAAAATGGACATAAATGACATTTGACCGGGAAGTGTAGTGCAAATGAATGGAGTATGCATGTGTGTGACGGGTGTAAGTTCACTCCCTGGTTCTCGCGCTATCGTGTGCACGATGTATTCATCATTTCGGTACTCTGTTCTAGTAAGATGGAAAGCTTGCGGTAAGCACCATGCAATATCTCTTTTTGAGTCTGTGTGGTTCTGATAAGAACCGGAGAGGCTCAACGTTTCGGACAGTGTGCTCTGTCCGTTGTCAGGAGTCAGGAGACTCTGTTCTAGTACAAATGATCCAAACCTGGACCTCCCCCCCCCCCAAAAAAAACGTACACTGAATTAATATCAGAAAATGAGTAGCTGGCCCTGGGCCTCAGCTCAGTTACGTAGTTTGCACATGGAGATTTTTTATTGAATCATGTTAGAGGTGAAAAAATAATTTACTTTAAAACTTACCCTTGTCTGATCAAAAACAAATTTTCTTTTCCAATAACGTGATGGCCCTCTGCATCGAACTAATCTGATCGCACTCAAGTGAACCATTTTCAATCGCTCTCTTTCGCAGGTCAAATCATCGGTGAAACAAAATTCCCTTGATTAAGTTGGTGTGAAGTTCCAAATCCATTCATGCTATTGGCAGAGCGCCCTCTGCTGTCTCACTTTTTGTAATATCATTTCCATGTAATTATCAATTTGTTTACGTGTGTCTATAGGGCTTACCATCATTTCTTATATACAAAAATGAAAAAAATGAAATATTCATCCATTCTGATGCACTCTAAAGGCTTCATAATGGCCGATACTGAATAGAAAAAAAATTAAACCAAGTTAACGTTACTTGAACGAGGAGAATTCAAAATGGCGCTTCCGTCAGAGGGTTGGTTAAGTTTACGTTGGTTTTTACAGGGTGCTGGAATTGTGATTGTGCCTTTATTACACAAATTAGTTCGAGTATCAGATCCGGCAGTTGCAGATGTACTGTATATTTATTTGTTGGTGATTTGTGGAGCATACGTCACCGTAAATTTCGCAGTTTTATTTGTGCTTCACCGGCGGAAATACTACAGACAGGTACTCCATTTATTACGCTTACTTTTTGTATAAGACAGTATGCAAAGAATACGTGGTACCAGACTCCAATTTTTTTTCTTTGAAATACATAATTGTCCCCAACAAAATTTCATCCTAATTTTCACAATTGGGACGAGATGAGTAACTAGTAAAACAGGTTTCAGCCAAAAAGTAATGCTAAGCCTTGACTGGGGCAATTCATTTTGAAATTTAGGCCTGGTATTAGTTTAAAATCTGATTCTGAATATCAAAATTGCCATGAACCCCCCATTTACTTAAAGAAAATAAAAGCCATACTCTAATTTAAAAAGGAAGGAATTATGACTGCATATAGTGCCTTAGTGGTTAAAATATAAAATGGTCATCCTGGAGCTGAACAAATTATTGTTAAAACGTGAACAATGTTCAAATCCATCATCAATTCACATACCAAAACATTGCACATACCAAAACACCAAATTCATGTAGGCGGCAATAAGATCATTGATATAGTAGATATGGTTGTGATGGTAGAGATATGCCCTATTACATGTAATTGTCAGTGCACTGTGACCAGAGCATGATGGCATGTAATTCTTCAGCATTGTAATCTCCCCAAGATAAAGCCATGTAACCATGAAAAGCAGTTTGCGTCAGTTTTTATACTTCTTATTTTTTGAAATTTTTCTGAACCAAATTATGAAAATTATGACTGACACTACAGATTGCTGCTCAGGCCTGTTTCATCGGTGTTGTCTTTGGAATTGGTCTGTCCATCTCCTTCTTGCACCAGAGCATCGCTGTGTTTGGCTGGTACCTGTGCGTCCTCGGCTTTTTCCACTTCTCCGAGTACTTCTCCACCTCCATTTACAACTACGAGAGTCTGTCGGTGGACTCATTCCTCCTCAACCACAGCGTGGCCTATGTGCTGGCTGCAGTCAGCAGTTGGTGCGAATTCTTTCTGGAGCTTTATTTTTTCCCAGGTAGGTTTGAAGTGACCTTGGAAAGATCAAGCATTACTTTTAAATTAACAATCAGTATTTTTAATGGAAAAAGTGGTCTTCAAATGGTCTCTGTGAGATTTTCGTGGCTATTTACATCACAAATGAGTACATATTTCTGTGACAGTTGAAAAAATTGACAAAAGTTTAACAAGCCTCATCTGAGGCCTCAGAAAGATACCAGCTATGAAACAGGTTCATTTAACACTTGATGCCCAAGAACCATTCGGTTCACTCAACCTTGTAATGATCTTCCTTTTTTCCCCCCGATATCGTCAGATCTGAAGCAGTGGTGGTATGTCAGTCTGGTGGGGCTTGTCCTCTGCGTCGGTGGGGAATTCCTACGGAAGGTGTCCATGCTGACGGCGGGCAAGAGCTTCAACCACTACATCCAGACCACCCGGGCCAGGGACCACGTCCTGGTCACCCACGGCGTGTACGCCTGGTCCCGCCACCCCTCCTATGTAGGCTGGTTCTACTGGAGCATAGGAACTCAGGTGTGTTGGCTGCAGCCTGTCTTTTGATGTGTGGCTATGGCAATGTCCGAAACTTAGAGCTGTGGCTTGCAGTAACACCAGCACCTAAGGGAAAAGGGTGCATCCGCTAGACAATGGCTGTCATAGTTGTCTGCGCTGTTGCTGGTTCTTAGGAAGTACGGCCGGGGAGGTTGAATTGAAATCTACCAACCCTCAGCCGTACTCAAATGTTATATCCATCACAAATCCAACATGAATCATGCAAGCCCAGCACAAGATCATCACAAGTCAGCCAGTCCTGAACCAAGTCACAAGCTGTTCAAATGAACAGTACGGTATCAGAAAAATTCCTTTGTGTGAAAGGACTTGTGACTCGACTTATGATGGGCTCACCCGCAGCCCAGGATTTGAGTCAAGCTTTTTTAAGTTACCTGTCAAGCAGGGACTTGCCAGAGTGTCTTCTAAATGATTTCCCTCCATTTCTTCCTATACTGTGGACATTTCTTTGGCGCTTTGTAGTGCACCTATTTCCTTGGGACATTTATGACGTTTTCACAATGTTACTGGTTTTCTTCTCGTTACTAACATTTGAATTGTAAACACATGGATTCTTTTTGTGCTTAGATCATTTTGTGCAACCCCCTCTGCTTTGTGGCCTACGCGATAACCTCCTGGAGGTTCTTCAACGAGCGGATCGAGGACGAGGAGATCACACTGCTGAACTTCTTCGGCGAGGAGTACCTGAACTACCAGCAACGGGTGGGCACCAGACTACCGTTCATCAAAGGCTACAAGATGGAGCTATGACCTTTGGCCCCTCCGCGTCGGGGCAAGGAGGTGGATAAGAAAGACCTCTGACCCCCCCCCCCCGCCCTGCCCGACGTAAAATGGATGCTTGACTTTTCGCAAAAATGGTGTGAACGTGAACCTGCTTGAGTCACCTGTGGGCCTTTTTTGGGTCCAAATCCTGCAGTGCTATCTGAACTATCTGGGCAGGTGTCTTGGCAAGCAAAGTTGCTGGAAGATGCGTTTGTGACTTTTGCTGTACACATTATCTCTAACTGTACAACATTTCTCAGTGGTTAAGAAAACAACGTTAGTTCTTGAACGTGGGTAAGGAAATGAGCATTGCTTCTCGGTACATAGAACAAGCATTCATTCTTCATCTGTAAATGTCAGAGTGCCATTTGCTGACATTGTAAAATTTGCTTCGCTTTTGTTTTGTATTACAAACTGGAAAATTGCTCTTCTCAGAAAAAATATTGGCGGCGATGACCACATTGCCCAGAGGAAAACTAGCACGCTGTTTCTTGAATTAGAGTGGGAAGGTTTAGAGTGTTGACACTTGAGAGAAATGGTCTCTCATCCACAAGTGTTGTAACGTGATTGTTGATAATTGTGTGTGAAATCGTTTCAGATTACAGAATGTAACGGTCAGAAGTGGACATGGGGAGGGCAACTGAGCCTTTGTCTTAGACCTGTTCTACACATGCCAATATTTTAGGGGTCAACCACATGTCTGTGCAGTTCAAAACTGTGTCTGCAGTCAGTTTTATTGTATGTGTGTGAGTGTGCCAAGCAAGCGTAAGCATTGGAAACGTATGTCATTGCTGGTACCCTGGTAACGGGTAGCCACTGAAGCTCTGAAGCGTACCATTCAGTTTGTTCTGCCTTCCAAAATGCTCCACTTGTTCGATACAGTAAGTGAGGTTATTGAAGTTCATGGTTCCTGTTGCAATGCACATCAAATCTTGACTTCAGTAAAATGCTTTGTATGGTATTGTGAAAAGCAAGGGTGGACACAGAACCTTTTTGGGAGGCAACTTTTTGGGGGGTTGCCAAAAATTAGGGAATTTCTCCATGTAATTTTTTATGGTCTTTCTGATGTTTAAAGCTGATTTATAGGGTTTCCACTCATTTTTGGGAGGAAGGGAAATGACACGGTCTCCAAAAATCATCCTTTTTTTAATGTTTATATTTCAAAAACAAAAATAGAATTTGCTCCTTGGGGTGGCTCCCTTTGCCCCCCCTAATTTACATAGGGTGAACAGGTGGTATTGTCTTATCTCTAAACTGCCATCACCAGGAAATTGAACACACCCCACATCTGTCCCTGGCTGTTTGATGTCAAACTATGCTGCCCATTATTGATGTTTGAATCATTTAGTTCTAAGCACACAATCAGAATGAAGTTTAAGTTGAGCTGGGCAAGTATATCTGTTCCTGCATTTTTGTAGATTTAGGTTGATTCTCTATGCAATTAATTTCATGCAATATCTGAGAGTAATGCTTTCTCTTTCTGTGTCCAGTACTTTGTATCGGGCTATCATGAGTCAGAAATTTATGTGTATATTAACTGATAAGTTTTGCTCGTATTTGAAGTATTTTAGTTACATATTTACACAAGTGCAGCTAATTTTCATTTTGTACAGGTATTGCACGTATTTTGCCAAATAAAAGGAAGTGAAGAGACTTGTTTTGATGTCAGCGAGCATTACTTCACATATACCACTATCACATGACCCGAGTTCCACACATTCAACAATTTAAACCTCAGTGAATGAGTCGGACACCAGTCCTTTGTTAAGAGTATTATATGCAATAAGGCCCTTCCTGTAGCAACTGGCTGCGGCTATGTGGGACTGACACCTGTGTCTAGATTTCATGGGAGACGGAAGGTGCGAACAAAGCCCTTTTTAGGACGGTACACAAATTCAGAGACAAATGTCACCCGCAAATATGTGGAATTCAGACGCCATTTTTTAAAATTCTTCACCCATTAAAATGACCTGTGCCGTTTTACATAGTAATACCAGATCAACATTGATGGATGGTGTCTAGATTAGAGATTGGAATGTACCTGACATGGTTAGCAACTCTAAAGTACAAAGTGATACATGTTTCAAGGACATATTCACATATGAAGTACTTGTGCCATAAAATGGACTTTCCCGCTCATGAAGGTAAAACTACTGACTGTGAAATCTTCAAGAAAATCACTTTTTCCAGAAAGTCTCCAGATATGATGCAATGATTGGTTCTTTTAAAATTATTCAAAGATAAAAATAAATTAAAAAAAAAAAAAACAATTCAAACTTGCACTTAGCTTCTTCATAGGCCATACTGTATGAAGTTGACAACATAGTAACAATTGTTGACATTCAGCAACTTTAAATATTTTGAAAACTATATAGAAAAGTAAAATATCACAAAAGGTAGACAAGTCTTTGACTTGTAAATGTATATTTTTTCCAGATTCTCATAGTACCTGTATGCAGAAAATATAAGCAAAAGGATTTCGTAAGTACATGTATGTACATTTCTATAACTCAAATACTCTTATTGAAATTAGAAAAAAATATATATATCAGATCTAATTAGAAACATATCTTTTGCATTATTACACACGTAAGAATTAATCGGAAAAGCAGCATAATGTGGAACAGTTTTCAATATATACATTTAAAATTAATGGTAATATCTTCTTCACAGCAAATGGGATTCAAGTTGGTGCTAGTCCTTATTTCTCTCTTTAGGTTTCTTTAAAAAGCCTTTAAGATATATAGTGTCCTTGATTTCTAGAAGAACTATTGGTTTCATTACCAGAAAGAATGCACATAAAAGAAATCTTTAAAATACACAGTATATAACAAATTTACGAAATATGGAATTCCACTAGCATAATTTCAAAAAGGAGAATTTTCTTTAAAAATTACACTTTGAGAATTTAAATTTATTTAAAATATGTAAAATGTCTTTCAAAAGGCACACAAGTTCATAAAAGTTCCAAAGGCAACACAAGTTTTTGAAAAGTATTTTCAACCAACCTGTTGTCCATCACCTGATCAAATTTGCATGTTACAGTAACACACATTGCTAGTAATATTGCAGCCTTTAATGGCATTGTCTTTTAGTATGGACCCATGCCAAGGAAGTTTAGTATAACACAATATAAAATTATTTCTACAAGTGGTTTTAAAAAGGATGAATTGTCTCGATTAAGTGCTGAAGTGAGTACTTCCTTGTGTTATTTATTTGAGATGGCAATGTTGTTGCTTAAAAAAAAATCTCGAACAAAATTGGTTTTCTTCGACGATCTGGCGAACCTTGCCTCCCTGCCTCGATTTTTAAACTGCTTAGTAAATTGTGCGATGGTCTTGCCTTTGTTCGCGTTTTCCCCCGTGTTTTCTGGCATTTTTTGTGTTTTTCGGTATTTTCTGGTATATAGTATTTCTAGCCGAGGTTCCCAATTCCCTCTAGGTAAGCATGTGATGATTAAGTTTTCACTCCCAACCTCATTCATTCAGTGGGCTTTCCCGGGAATGACATTTCGGAGTTTTCCTGCCAACTCTAAAACTGAATGAATTGTCGTTTATAATCATCCTTTACCTGAATTGGCAGCCGCGCTGTTGCATGTACACAAAATAGAATAAAATCCTTTCAAATGTTCGGGTTCTGGTTTCAAAGAGTCGTCGACTTAAATTTGTTGAAATGGGACAATATCACATCTTTTTTCAAATTCGATTAATTTGTGAAGATTTTGCATATACGTTTTTGTCTCAGTTCGTACAGTCCAATCAAAACGTCAAAGGACCACCTGATTGCATTTTCCCTGAGCAGCGGTGTATTCTGCTTTTGGTGTGGGGGGGGGAGGGCTCCAAAGCGAATGTGGCATCGGGCTTATTCGACATGATGTTGGGGGGCTCCGTTTGGCACAATTGCTCTTTTTCTCAATTTCCACCTCAGTGACCCTGGCTTACATACCTAACCCCCCCCAGAGCCATTCCCTGACTCTATAACTGAAACTGTTCTCTGTATCTTGTCCTTCAAGTTTTCCTCGGTAAACCTGAGGCACACAGTACCAGTGTATCTTTAAAATACATGAGAACTCTGGGCGGAGGGGCGGGTATATATCCCCCAGGTCTTGTGGGGGGTGGGCTATTGATTCACCCACCCCCGTTTTTGTGATGAGAAAAAAAAAACTGGTTTTCCCAGTAATCAGAGGTAGTCAATATGGCGCTCAAAAAGAAAAAGGACAAAATGACATCTCGCAATATTTACCGCTGTCCACTGGGTAAGAAGTGGGGTGGAATCATGGACTGGTCCCCGTTCATTAATCTCTATTATAATGGAAATCAATATCTCCGTCTGAAGACTACGCACGGAACAAGAACCAGTCTAAGAAATCAGAGATGGCGGACACAATCGTCAGTCGTGCGAGCCTCAGCGCGCGATCAGTTCAGACGGAACAAACTTGCGGCCTTGTGGAAGCTTGAAAAATGCAGCTATGGGGTTCGCGTGTTTATGGCATAAAACAGTTAACGTGAACCATTTTGGAACATAGCCTTCTCGACCTCGGGATCTTTTGGACAATTTTCAATGCGCATGATGTTGTAGAGGGAGCGCGCGTTGTGTCGTCCCCACCTTTCACCCATAATGCACCACGGTAAACCTTGTGCGACATCATTGTGTTTTAGGTCTATTAAAAATATCCATAAAGACACTGTTCAAATGTTAGGCTCTGCGGGAGCGCAGATGTACATCAGTATCATAAACATCTCCCGTAGTGTTATGTGGTGTCAGCATCTCTCCCCCTTTTTATATTTCCACAGCTGGGTAATTCATCCCCCCAGTTCCCACCACAAATTTACGTTTATGAAGGAATTTATAAATATAATTATGTAGATAGTATATAAAAATATTTAGTTCTATATAATGTAATGTATATTACTGGTAGGGGGTACAATATTCTTCGAGATATTCGCAGGTTTTTAAACGTTCAAAGTCAGTTCAATTTTTCCATTCGTTTGCAAACGACTTCTTATTTTACATCAAAGAAATAAAAATGAAACTATGACGGTAACGCGTATTATTAGTAACACTGCAATATTTATAGTACCGCGTCCTTGCCTGCACCCCTGCTAACGTAACAACAGCTGCAATTAACTGAGCGGAATGTCTGTTGCTGCTTTTCATTTAAGATGGTTATTGTGAGGTGATTCCAGCCCGATAGAAGCGAAAAGCGAACTTTTTATGAAGGGTCACATTTATAACATGGGTAAATACAATGACAGTACTACATTAACAGCTATTAACGACTGAACTTATCTGAGCAGTATATAACAAGTGCTTTCACTCTACCTTCGGCTCAAATTGAATAGAATTTGGACAATCCTTACAAGCAAGCCGCTGGAATGACTGGACATCTACAAACGACATATAACCAATCAATCCCTATCTACATAAGCCAGCCAGGGGCACATCATTATCCGTAAACAATCATCACCGTTGGTCTGTAAAAGGGTAACTAGATGCCTGATCAATAAAACACGCAGATGTGTTTAAAACAAGTCTTAAAAGCATAAACATTAACTAATAAAATTCCGCCACACTGGACGTAAACCGACGTCTTTGGAATTTAGTCCAGCGTCTTTTGTTTCAACTTTGCACTTGTATAGAGCCTACATACAATTTTCAATATATAATACAACCCAACAGCTGCAGTCCTCTTGCTGATTCGAATACACAAATCTACACTGCGACTGGACTTTAAGTCTGCATATCGATCAAAGCTGAATAATAATATCCTCTGCTGCAGGATTGAAATATCAGGCAAAATAATATTCTTACGATCCGGAATCAGTGAATGTATATTTCTCAAAAAGCCCAATATTTCTCAGCGGCATCAAAGAAATTAGACAAGGTTACACTGATATAAAGGACAAAGAAACGATGTGATTTGATCATGATGCATGGTAAAAAAACACTCCAAGTGGCTAAAGTGTTTTAAAAAAAATGTGCAATTACGCTGATAAATCAGGTGTTCTACAGGTGGATGCTTGGTGATGACATTTGATTAGGTTTCTCACACTTTCCAGAAATTTCTGCACTCTGACAATAAATTTCCATTAACTTTTCAAATTGCACAATTTGCCCAAATAAACTAAGAGAACTCAAGGTAAAACCTGGACACACAAAAAGGCTCCAGTCTTTAATAACGCATGTCCCCGGGACAAGCGTGGGTCGGGCAAAGATTCTTGTGTGACAACGAGTGATAAATGCACAATAAAGGCCAGAAGAGGATAATCTTCTAATACTATGTCAGTGTTTGTATAAGATTTATTCCTGCAGTGAAATGCATGGATGTCAGACTGGCGAGTTACTTACTGTCCTTGCCCTTGATTTTCGTAGCCCACGTTCGAATCGAAGTTGGAGTCGATACATAGTTGGGCTTTCATTCCCTAACCGCCAGCGGCTTTCTCAGGGATGTATTTCCAGGGTTTCACAACCTCTAAAATTGACAACTATATCTTTGATTTTTATTTTTCCCTCTTGGTTTTGAAAGGGCTTCTTTCTGCAGTGCCTGTAGAATACTGCAAATACACAGGTTTTATTACAAGAAAGAACTCAAATAAAACGAGATCTGTTTTTAAGTGAAGTAAACGTAGCATTAATGCGCAGTTTTGAAATATGGAACTTACCCAGCATAGCATCAGAAGGGCTAATGTGCTTTTCAAAATATGAGAACTCGTGTCATTTTATCCATATAATAATCTAAAGATCTTAACTCAAGTCTAGCCTGTTGAGTTACGATTGTATATAATTTCAAAATCGCTAAAAAGTCGTGGAGGGAAAATCGCAAGTGACACACAGTACTGTTTCACGGTACAACTGAAGCATTTCATGGCAATACCGTCTGGTGTGGATCCACGCAAAGGAAACCCAGACAAGTGACTTTTGAATAACCAATTAAAATTGTCAGCTTCTTTGTCTTAGAAATCCTATGGATATGTGACAATCTGGTCCTCAAAAGTTGAAACGGTAGCATGCCGTCATGCTACCTGTTTATTTACTTTTTGATTTCGACTAACTTGTGATCTTTGAGTAATGTCGATTTCAAATCCGCGCGTCGTATTTTAGCTAAGCAATCACCGAGGAACCTTACTTGTTTCTCACCGCTCTTTGTATCAGTCATTGTATCACATTTCCAGTCCTTAAGCATGGCGAAAACCTGTCCCTGCAGGTTCCTAGGATGGGATGTTTCATAATTAGTCAGTTCTTTAATTCTCAGATGGGTGCCCAAGGGTTCTCTTTCCTTTGCGCCTATTTCCTTCGATAATTTCAGGAGGTAATCATCACTCAGAAACTCTGCGTAGAGACAGAAAAGTTGAAAGCGATAATATTCAGTGATGTCGAGGCACTAGCATAAAGATGGCAGCTCTGATAAAAACAAACTAAACGAAACAAAACAAAATACACAAGAAGGAAACTCTACTACAACAAATGAAGCGGTTTAGCTCGTGACAAAAAACTGCAGGTAACACTTTCATTTTATGTTTAAGGCTGAAAAAAATGTTTTCATTGGAAGTGTGTCCACTCTACAGTTTACGAAGTTAGAAAAAGTTTTGACTGTCAGTATACACGTAAACGTTCAAGACTATGATTGTTGTATGTATGACGGTTTATAACACTTACCTTTAACATCTGGATGCTCAGAAGATCCCTGTCCTATTAAATAAAACAAATTATTGGTACAAATTGCATTGAGCAATAATGGAAAGTTGATATGTTCTCCAGTTGTGAATATTGCAGCGTTAATACTACTAGACAAATTTTGCAATTGGCATGCAGTCTCCTGAAATTCATTCCAAATTTTTTTCACGAGTAATTTTTTTTAATTTTCAAGTAAATAAAGCTGTTGTAGGGGCGGGGTAAGATGCGTGTTTCTTACTTTAAAGCGCTAAAATGGCAAACTATCGGTAACTTAACTAACACTTTCTCCGCGGTTGGAAACAATGTGAAGGTATTTCTTATGTTTTATTTTTGTCTTTACATAGATAGGGAAGTAAGCAAGGGTGAATGGCGAAGGGCAACGGGCCTATGGTCCCCAAAATTTTCTCCTTTGAGAGACAGGAGATTTCGTTTCTAAGACTATTTCATTTCTTTCCCTTCCAGAAGCGTGAATAAAAGGCCCCGAAAAACCGCCAGAAAGCCCATAAAAGGTTATATGAAAAAAAAAATCTCCAAATTTATGGCCCCAAAACAAGTCCCCCCCCCTTTCCCAAAAAAATCTGATTCTGAATCCACCCTTGTAAATTGCTTCAGATGCGGAAACTGTCATTTTTGGGGTGGAGCGGGTGCCAGACTCGGCCAAGTCCTTTGGCCCGAGTCGGCGTCGAAATTTCATCAGAATCTGATTGCTAGTCCGTCAGAAAGAGAACTCGAGTCCTATACACTTTCCCACCCAAAAAGGCTTATAAATCCCCGAATAAATAAACAAAACGGTCATTATGCACAAAGTGGTTGATACATGGGCAAAACCAAGTGTTGCAGTTTGTCACTGGACGTGTTTATGTCAGATATGAATAGAAATCATTTTAGAATTTGTCATCAGTCTCGCGGACTGATGTAGATAAGATTGTCCTGCCAATATAATAGTTCTCGAAAAGTAACACCTACCTCTACCGTGAGGGTCCTCAGCAGATAACGGTCCTGTTTAATTAAACAAATTTAAATTTGTCGAAAGTTATTTTGGGCATACTGCATTCTTACACACAGGGGACAAGCATTTTCAGTGACGTAATTATCAGCAACGCCTTTAACATTTTTCGAATGAAATATATGCACATTTTAAGAAGCTATGTAGGTTAAATTTGTTTTTTGATTTTAAGAGTTTTGCCCCCCCAAGGCAAAATTTTTCAACACTTTTAACGATTCTGGCTTCAACTTTTGGTATTCACTTTTCGAGTTTAATCAGCTCTTTGGATGCTCAGTAGGTCAGTTTCAGTGTTTTCAACGATTGGTTCTATGACTAGTAAAGATAAATGAGGCATTATGGCGTTGATCAGTGGGGACGGAATTGAAGTCAGATGGTACCGTTAAGGGCTTGATTGATTTTTACTATTGTTGTCAGTCGTCCTGACATTGCCTGTCCACGCCCATCTTCACACTTTTCAGAGCCCGGACATTCACTGCGCTACATAAAATAATATAATATTTACTCTTTTTAACCACAATCTTCGTCGGCCGAGACGGGACCTCCCCACAAACGGCATGGTATTCTCCAGAATCAGATTCCTCGAGTCTGTGAATAACCAGTTTCTTTATTCCTCCCGATTTGGTTATAACGACGCGCCCAGAAGGTTCCAGCTGTTCTCCCTTAAAAAATTCCATTTTCCAAAGTTTCTGCGAGAAGTTGTACGGCAGACTGCATTCTTGATTTTCAATCTTTTCGATAAAACGAGGTGGCTGATTGATGAACTTTGATTCTAAAAAGACAAAGACAAAACAACACACAGTTTTGCTCTCTGCTGATGCGTGTGGAAGTTTGGGTTGCGTCCCATATCAACGCACTGTGGCATCTATGGGAAGTGGATGCAGCAAGTCGCCATGTGACTTTCACCCCCAACACTCTCATTAATGAAATTGAACTGCATTATGAATAGTTAATGATATCTTGCTGGTCCACTGCCACGGGGGACTATGTGAGCAAGTCCAGCTATGCGCAACATATTCACTGATAAAAGGCGTTCACATACACAAAATGTAGTTGCTGCTGTTGGTTTTTAGGTGTCTTACTAGTAGAGGTGGGCTATTTGCGTTACAAAGAGCCACACTAACGACCAGAATCTAGACTACTTTCTTGCAAACACCTCTTAGTAGATAACGTGAACTACTGTGAACATTTACCCGCTCGTGTACAATACATACTGCGGGCAAGGTCAACATTTTACTCATCAGCAGCACGCAAAAAAGTGTCAATATTCTACCTGACGTCATTTCTGTGACAAACGTAACTATGATCAGTTTCTTTTTCTTTTACCAGCAGAATCTTCTGGTCGTGTGACCCTAGTGCGTCTTTTTTTAAAGTATGAGTCACATATCCCATGCAGCAAACGAAGTTTGCGTTATTGTGGGTAAAGAACAGTGCTATTGTTTAAAGTGCCAAAAAGTACTAAGTTTAATGCTGTGCCAGCAAAAGGAGGCTTACACCCTTTAAGCTGTTGAAGTCCCTACCTCGTGTCACTATGAGGATAAGTTTCAGGTCGAAGTTCGGACCTTTCACTCGGTACACTCCACTATCGTCTATCTCTACGTTTGGGATGGTCATGGTTCGCTCATTCAGGTCTGTGTCGTCGATGCACTCAGAAGAGATCTCTTTGTCATCCTTCCACCACGTGACGTCAGACTCAGACGCCGGGGCTTTTAACACCAACTTGAATTCGTCCATTTCTTTACGTTCGAACTCTTGCGAAATTATTATTTCACTTTCTGAAAGGAGAAGTGCGTGTGGGTCCATGAACGAGGAGTCTGGTATATTCTACTGCCAGCCAACGGACAATGCGCCTCAATTCTGAATTTTCAATGGGTTTCGCTGTGAGAGATATTTTTTACAATGACACACAGACTGATGTTTCTGCCATAAATTCTGGAAGCACATTCACTTGAAACTCTGACACAGTCATCGCCATACATGCAGGGTGATATGAGGGCGGGACAACACCATTCGCCAAAGGATCTCGATCTCGATCCGTGACTCCAACGCTGGTTCGCACCACTCATTATGCGGGTTTTGGTGTTCGTAAACCAACCAACCAAATTCATTCATGGTAGCCTTGCCTTTGTATTCGGCATGGTAATGACCGCCGGTGGCTTCATTCGGGACAAATGGATTTGAGTCCAGATTTTGACGTCCGTGCACTTTTTATATGGACTTCTCTTGTGCGGAAGTCACCTGCCATACCTGGTGTGGACGTAGCCTGTTGTCTTTCAATTAATAAAATACTCTTTGTCGAGCTGTTAATACCATTTTCACTGTTTTTTAATGGTTTACTTTGGCTCTTCTTCATTTTGCAACAGATGACCCTAATTCGAATGGTCCGTGAACTGTTTTTCAGAGAAGGTGAGCTTATGTATGCATGGATGTATCCACAGAAAGGCTCCCCTTTCTGCATCGTGTAAACATCTTTTGTCCACGAGTCCACACTGGGTATGTATTATTAGCGCATCCCAACACGCTTTTCGATCAGTGGCGATCGAAAAATGCTTGTCCCACATTTTGGAATCCATTTTTCTTCTACTCTTAACAACTCGTGTGGTGCCTCCGTAAACATTTGCATCCTTGCAAACACGCAGCAAGCAGTGGAATATTTCCGAGTCAATGTAGAAACTCAAACCTTTGAGTAAAAATTTAAAAGAAAATTAAGGTATTGTTATGAATAGGGAATACCTACCTGTTTCAACTGACGGTGCAAAAGTCACCGTCGATCCATTTATCTCGATAGGCTCACGGTTGTCTTGATCTGGCATGTTGCGCGATTTTCTCACAGGTGTTGTAGAAATACTTCCAGAACGCTTTTTTTTTGATTTCATCCTGTTTTTCAGATGTAACCGTACACACAATCGAGGCTGCAATCGTCTGGTTCTACAAATGTCATTGAATCGGAACAATTTCAGTCCTTTACATTTGATTAAATGGAATGTAAGAAATAATTTTCTCAAGGGCGTGTGGAGGAGGGCCATATCCCTTTGGGGGACAACTTTTTGTTATTTTCGGAAAAAAGTGAAGAGAAAGCTGAATTTTTGGTCCATTTCATTTCCCTTCCTTCAAAAAGCGTGCAAAGCCCCCAAAATGTGGCCTCACTCCCGACAGAAAGCCCATAAATGGTTACGTGAAAAAAATCCAAAGTTTCCGTCCCCCCCAAAAACCCCAGTTTGCCCACCCCCCAAATGTTATGGATCCGTCTTTTAATTTCCCATGTATCGATAAGAATATGCACACAAACGACTATTAAAACAAACAACAACAACAACAACAACAACAAAATATGTGACCAGGGGCAACACTTATCCCGACACAAACACAGCAGCAATTTCTAATGTAACGACCACGACGATGAAAGTCGGAAATGTTCATGATAACTTCAAATTCAAATTCAAAGGCGCGAATTTGATAGGGGATTTCACGCCAATGCAAAATTGTTTGCAGCAGAAGTCGCTGTCTCACTTCATATTACCCTTAAAAAGTTGGGTAGAATTATTGTTATTATTTATCGTATGGTCTATTTATTTCATTAGAAACCACTCAAAGTACGGCATTTTACAATAGTCAATAACAGTATTAAAATTTAAACAAAGTCAACTAAGTACAATGATTAAATACCATTTAAATACAAATAAATTGGCACGCCAAAACGTATCTTTAAAAACGTATTTAATGAGATCTGCCTCGATCCCATAATAGTACAGTCGAACCCCGTTATTAAGAGATCTTTAGGACTTGGTCTGTTACCTTGTTATTATAGGAAACTTGTATTTATAGGAATAAAAAGCAATGAAAAACAAAGAAATGGAACTTCGATATTTCCTGAATATATCAGCAGAACCTTGTATTAACAGTACTCTTGTTACCAATGGTGGACTGTATGTTTGTACATGCAGACGCAGCTGCAGCCATTAACTCGGATGCGGCTGTGTCTCATTAGTCAGTGGTGCCGTTCCGTTTACCACCCTTTCCGAAAACTGAATGGAGCTTTGTCCTTTCCTAGCGCGTGTCCAATAGATGGAACAGCCTCTGATCGAGAATGAACTAGTCTTGGGCGAATTCTCAGACCAAAGGGTATATAAGCTTGGGATCGTTTCTCGTGTAATGTTTCGGCGCCCCCCCCTTTTGGAAATACAAAATACACACAAAAAAGGTGGGGGCATTTTGGACGGGTGGGCGGGGATGATCACCATTTAAGGGGGCGTTTACATGACCTTATTGGTGGCTATACCAGCTGCCTACACGCTTTTGCCCTATAATTGTGTAAATGCCCAATATTTAGATTTTCTGTAACTATTTTTTGGTCTTTTGAACTTCGCCAGCAAAACAACACGTGAAAAACTGTGAAGTAGAGAAGGCTGATGTTTCAGCGCATATTTCAGTTAAGAGTGTTGATTTAATCAGTCGTCTTCATTTTTGCATAACCTTCCGCCTCGACTTTAAGCACAGTTTGTACATGAAGAATGTTTCTTTTTCAGAAGTTTTTCTGCGAATCAATTTTTTTCCGTTCCAGAATAAAACTCGGTTCGGTTCAGTTGGGGTTGGTTGGGGTCGGTCGGTCGGTTGGTTGGCCGGCTTACTGACTGAAGGATTGACCGTCCGACCAAATGACGTCAATAACCCACAATTCGACCGATAACAATATTTAAAAATTTTAGTCAAACCCGGGAAAATCAGAACCATGTCAACTCAAGTATTTATCGTTTCAGACGACCACGAGCGTCTCAATGCCGACAACTGCGACCCCAATGTCACCTACGGTCCCTTTGACCCGAGTAAATTAATCATTTCAAAACCCGTGGTTAAAGAAGGGACCTACACTTCACCCATTTTTTACAATCACAACGGCCAAAACAAACGCCTGTTGATTATGACGATAGAACCCTGTTACGGAATAAACCCACTTTACAAATACGGCACTCGAGATAAAACGCCCGAAAACATCAAAGGCCGTCAAATTTGTTACCAGATACAAGAACCTACGACAAACGTACTCGATCACATAAATTTGGCCGTTTATAAATTTATTGAGTCTCAAGGGTCTAATCTCCCGTTTAACACCGTAAACGCCTACAAAACCAGTCGCGATATTGATGAATTGAACAAGATCGAATATGTAGTTAAACCGCCTTATACGGCTAAAAACCAAATGTACGTTAAAATAGATCCCTATGCCTCCCTGTTTGATCACCAAAAAAGATCCATCGACTCGTCAAATATCGATAAATTTATCAATAAGCGATGCGACGCGCAATCATTTATTTGTGCAAAAGACGTATACTACGGTACCCACGGTTCACTGTCTTGCGGAGCCAGCGTTAGGTTTAGAGTGACAGCGGCAACGTTGAAAATTAGAAACGATGGACTAATTTCGAGTAAGTCGGCGTTGCAAGCGTTTAACGGATTTGAATTAAAAGTCGATTAAATTTGAAAAATCAATTTAACCTCGGTTATTCCTCGGAATAACTGGGGTTAATTTTTTTTCCTTAAATAAATAAACTGTTAATATAAAATGACTGATGCAGAACTTTGTCACTTGCTGAATCTAAAGGAAGTACAAATAGCAGGATCTCAAAAACAAAGTAAACCGAGGCCACCTTGTAACCACCAAATACTTGAAATAGACGAAAGATACGCGTGTAAACATTGCGGTTTAATTTTTGGATGGGTTTCCTCGTACACCCCCGCAGACATGGGAGATCGATATTACAAGCACCATGTTTGGAAAAAACCCAAGCCGCCAAAATCGAGAAAAACGTTGCAGAAGTACAACATTTGTTTTAAAAACGGCGAAGCGGGTGAAATAGAATATAAGTTAAACCAAGTTTTAAACGACAAGATCTCCAGAGGTAAACCGTTGAAGGCTTTAATCGCGGTGTGTTATCAAGAGACAACTGGGGAAACCGAATCTCAAGTGAAAGATCTATTTTAAGTTTCGGATAAGCACTGGGAAAACGCCCTCGACAAATCAAAGCTCGCCAAACAAGACCTATAGATTGAACAAACAAGAAACGTATATAATAAAATGGAGACTCACACGTTTTACTTAACCGAGAGCGAGCAGACGTTTAAATTGAAAAACGAGATCAACAACACCAAAGGCGACAAGGTCATCAGAGTAAAGAATATTCAGTTTGAAGCTGGATATTTTAACGTAACAAACGCCACTGAAACGGAGTGGGATACAAACTTGGACGGTGGGCCCGCGGGGGTACTTAGCGAACGACCGCCCGTTATACCCTCAGAGGAAAGAACGGACGTATCTCCCAGTTCAGAATTAGTACAAACAGCTAAAAACAGATTGATCCAAGCAAATAAAAGAGGCAACTTAGCGGAAGAAATCAGAATCATCGCTGATGAAATTG